CTCTCTCTCTCTCTCTCTCTCTCTCTCATTCATAATAACATCAATAATGATAAAAATTAATAATGATAACGAGTGTGACAATGAACGTAATGATCATGACACTGGGAATGGCAGTGATAATGACAATGATAATAATGATGACAATAACAAAGGCATAATAGTAATGGTAATTGTACTATTAATAGTGAGAGACTGTGGTCATTTGACTCCGAAACGGTAAATTATGACTGAAAAATTGATTATAATCTAGTGGTAAAAATTATACTTAACGACAACATGTTATTGCATATCCACGCGAATGTTATGACAATTAATTAGCAAACTAATCGTATTTGATTTGGCAAAAAAAAAAACTTGTTAGCATCGTTATCTGTTAGTTTGGCAAATTTATTTTCTATCACATCATCATTATGTCTTTTCGCGTCTCGATGAAAAGCACTTACGTAACATAAACGCAGTTCTCAAAGCAGAGATAGATAAAATTAGCCTGTTGCTAATCATCAAATAGGATTTTTAATTTACACTTGCTAATATTTATTATTGATGAATGGCCAATGAACAATCATTGATTATATTTGTAAATTGTAGTTAAAAATATAATTAGTGACTGATCAATGGAAAATTTGAGACGTAGCTATTAGTCCATTAATATCAATCGCAAGTATGCCACAATAATGATTGACTAATTATGCACTGAATTGAAATTTATCTGTTAGATAATTCGCAGACGAAGAGGTATGAGTGAAATGCATGCTGCAAAAGATGACATTATTAATACGAAACATTAAAATAATATGTTATTAATTTAATAGAGTAACAATAATAGTAATAATGCAATAATAATAACAGTAATAATAATAATAATCTCTCCTCTCTCTTTTAAAACGTATTAATAAATTTAAAATATTAAAAGAGAAAATAATATCTAATAATCGTATAACAATGGTACTACATAGGAATAATAGTAGTAATAGTAGGAATAATAGTAGGAGAGTGATGGTTGTAGTAATAGTAACAATAGCAGTAGTGATAGCACTAATAATTATAGCAGAATATAATAGTAGTAGAAATAGTAATCGCAATAATTAATATAGTAATATCTCGCGCTGGGTTGATAATGTCGATCAAAGAATAAATTAATGAAAGTTTAACGATCGATAGAGAAAATTTGCGAATCATGAAATTGCACGACCGTTACTTTCGGTGTGTTTGACACATGCCGTACAATATATAAATATTCTCTGAATATGATCTCGATATATTCTATATATACAGCGAGAGACGCGCGTACCGGAACGCGTCATTATTTATATATTTGAGAAAAGTCATTTTCATTGCTTTTCAGCCACAGATAAAAGACAAAGTAAAAATAATTCCGATTGTTGCCTGTTTCCATTTTTGATTACTTCATTCTCGAGTTATGTTATTTATTCTTCTGAATTATAAGTGATTGTGAATTAAATGATTTGGACGAATTACGCTTCAGGAACTCGCGATCACACAATAAAATATCTTTCTTCAATTAATGGGTATTGCTTCAATCTCAAATATAGGAATTAAGACTTACATTGAGGCTTGACTATTAGGATATCTAATGTTGAAGATAGAAATTAAAAGTTATGAGGAAAAATGGCTTCCTATGAAACTTCTGAGGACATTTCTGACTTTTGATATTTATCGAGGAATAATCTCTATTTGAAAGATTTACGCGCTAAATCTGAAACATCCTGTATATACGTATAATCTAAAACGCGTATTCTTCCTGTCTCTTTCTTTTTCTCTCTTATATCATTATCTCTATTCACTCTATTCTATTTTATTATGTTTGTCTTGCTTCTCTCTTTATATTTTTTTCTTCTTGTCGTCCTCTTACTTGCTATCCACTCTCACGGTTTATCTTTTCTCGCGTTGCGTAAGTGTATCTGCAGAATAATTTTTGATCACTTCGACGCGAAATTTTCAAGAATGTACGATCTACGTAGATCCATGGCGATAATGAGCGAACCGTCGCGAATTGCTGTCTTACGAAAGGCACTAGTATGATAGTTTATCACAGAGTCTGTGTGTGCGAGCGTGTGTGTAACACGTGTCTCGACATTTATCGTTTAGATCAAATTCCTTAAATCTTGCGTTCTAGATCTTCATGGAGAAGGCTATTGTTGTTAGTTTCGTGAATCGAGGCGGGCGATGCTTCGTCCGGTTGCTCGCCGCCGCTTAATTCTAATTGACCGGTGCTATCACCGCTACTGGAGCCGCATTCGCCATCGACAAACCTAAAAAAAAAACAAAATGTTAATCAGAAATATATATATATGTCGAGTGATAAATATATAAATGTCGGAAGAGATTATCGTTTATCGCAATTTTCTAATTTTTTATGATAAATTTCTATTTTGAAATAATTGATTTTATATTTTCTTCAAATAATCTGAAACAAAAGAAAATCTGAAATGTACTCAGTTAGAATATTTTTCTTTATTTTACCTGATTTATTTCTCAAATCGTGCAATTTTTATTGGACAAATCTCACACTATGTCGCGGTTTGAGAGAAAAACAGTGATATAGGCTAGACTTTATACTCACGTGTACGGTTGCTCCTCGCCGCGCATCTCGCATATGACATTTGTTAGTGCCATTATATAATTTTTCGCCAACGTGAGCGTTTCTATCTTGCTGAGCTTCCTCTCCATTTTTACGTGTGGTATTACCTCGCGTAATTGCTGGGAATTACAACGGGAGAAGTAAATTGAAAGTCTATCTATTATATCGAGAGTTGTATTCGCGATAAGCACTACCGGATGGCGATGTAATCGAATGTGGTCGAAAGTTGATACATTTTTAATGAGACTGTACATGATCGTGACCCGTCTAACGAATTGCTTATCGAATAGACTGCATCGAGCTATAAGTACACGAGTTCTCGTCGCTTTATCTCCTGCACCAATCGTTTTTTCTTCACTATCGTTTGCATTAACATTCAATGTCGATCAACAGCATTTTGTATAATAGCACATCCTGATCTTGATGCAATTAGTTTAATAAAACAATTAATGATCATTTTTGAAATATTAAAAAGACAAAATAGAATATCTTTTAATAAAAGAGAAAAATTTGTTAAAACATTTTAACGCATAACGTATTTTTTTAATAATTTACTAGCAGGCTTTGATGTGTAAAAGATTAAATGTGACATTACTTTTTGTTTTTATCTTCTAATTGAAAATTTTCCAGCAAAGTTTCACACGAGTTTTTCATCTTTTGAAAAATTTCGGTCAAGTTTTTCGCACTTGTCAACGCGACGAAACGAAAGCACTGTAAGAAAGCACAAAATTGTTACCTCAAAAGCATCATTAAGAGAATGCATTCTCATTCTCTCTCTCTCATTACTTTCGAGCCTCCTCAGGTTCCTCTCACGCGCAGAAATTCCGCTTTTCCGTCTTCTCGTGGTCGGCGGCGCACCACCGCGATTTTTTCTCTTCGCCTGTTTCGGGCTTCTCTCGCTTCCGCTACTGTCGCTCTCCTCGCCCACCTGTTTTCGTTTGGTTCACAACAGAGAATAGATCTTTCTCAAATATTTACAGTCAAATATTTACGTCGAAGCGCTCTCGTGATATGAATGCAGGTGAATAGCTACTTAAAAACTTCCTAGAAAAGATTGATTTGCATTTAGGAACGTTACACGGATTAATAAATAAAATCTCTCAATTTATTCAAGAAATATATTCAAGAATTTTAAATATCTTGTATTGCACATTTTATTTTTTTATAAAAATATGTATGTTTTCATAAAACAACAGAGAGTAAAGAAGTTTTATTTCAAATTCTTTATATTAGTAGTAATTTACTTTGTCAGTCACATGTTAAAAAACTTTATAGTAACAAATTTCATTAAAAAAAATTAACTTAAAAATATATTTTAATATAATATATTTATCTATTCACTTGTATCTAAAAATAATCATAAAGTCAACGTGAGTAAAGTAAATTATTTTAACGCACGATATGTGTTACATAATGGATTTTTTTTTAATCTAATCTAAACAAAAGTCTTGCCGATATATTCTGCCAATGCAAAAGAGCACATTTGACCCTTTCTCCATCTTTCTTGCTTAACGCGACAATGCGTTTCGCATGTTTGTTTAAACGATAAAACCCGGTAGATAAAATGTTAGCAATTTCCTTCACAGCTGCATAACGCTGATAAAAAGATTATTTGCTCAATCTCAATCGTCGATAATAAGACGTTGTCTTGCACACGATTATACCTGGCGCTTTTCAGTAGATTTGATTTGTTATCTATTCACCGAACTTGTTTTGATATATTTTTGATATTGCGATCATAATATGTCCCAAATTATTGCAAGTAACAAACATTTTATTAAATTAATAAAATCGAAAAGTTTGCCAGCAAAACTTGAATGAATCAATGATAAAAATAGATTGAGCATTTTTTATGTAAAATAAATAATTGTAGAATTTTATACACTTAAAAGAAATTGAGAATGACATGTCGTGCGTCAATTAGAAGCTCAATAGAAAGGGAAAGAAGAGGGAAAATAGAATTGTAAGATACCTCCGCGCCATGATGGCGACTACGTTTCCCAGTAAGCGAGTCAACGGATGCGTCGTCTAGGTCGATATACATTTCCCGATCGCCACAGTCTTGGTCGCTACTCGATAGCCTATCCAAGCTTCGCATTATTTTGATCAGAATCACAGTTCGATCCCTCTGTAATACATTGTATCATTTTTTATAGACTTATAATATATACTGTGACTGCACAATAGTAGAAAGAGCATATTTTTAATATAAAAAAAGAACAAATATAAACGTACAATAAATCAGAATCAGACTGTCAAAAATAACTTAAGAAATCAATGTTTTTAACATATAAAGTACTTTATTTTGCAACATAAGTGAATTCATTCAATAATTAATGAAATAAGATAAAGATTAAATTATGATATCTAATAATTTTGCTGAAAAATTGACGTCTAAAAATAGAAGAAATATCAAAGTTCGTGCAAAATAAAACAGTGTAGAATTATTCAAGATCTTTCGAATAAAAAAAATGTTAATGTTATTACTTTATGAAACTTTAAATAAAGAAGCAACGCGATATTGAATCAATATGATCAGCAATATTCGTGATGAACCAATTTAAAAAACGCACAATGCAAAAATCTATGTCGCGATTCATCGCAAGCTATGCAAAAGGAATTTCTGAATTATTGAGCAATATTATACATCATCATTGATGCTGACACTAAACAGCGCAATCTCGTTCGATGATTCTGAAATATTTGTTTATTAGATTATATGTCATGAGTGATATTGATTTTTTCTCTAAAAATTGGTAACTTTGTTAGCCATATGTAAGCAAGATAGGGAGCTGGAGGTCGGCATGTGCGAACCAAGATAGATAATCAGAAAATTTCCGTTTTTCCTCTTTCACTTCAATGCCAAGAATTCCCCACTCGCGGCCAAACACATGTATTAGACTGAGCCAATCCAACTGTCAGATTCGCGATTGATGATTTATGCTAGAAGTAGACACAACCTCTCCAGAGCTCTTATTCTGCTACTACTTTCTCTTACTGCGATGCTCATGATATTATGATTTCGTCAAATCTTGACGCATAAACGCGCACGAACAGTAATGTATAGAACTGCCTATCAGATTGAATAACATAGCGGAGTTGCATAATGCATGATGTGATCTGCACAATATTATCAGAAAGTATTTTAGTAAGTAAGATTTCGATTTCTCGAGTTTTCCGAGAGAAATCTATATCTAAAATCGGTTTTTCCGTAGGATATTTTACTCCGAAAATAATTGGATACGTGTGTCTTCTATTTTAATGTTTCGCAAAATTGTAACGTTCACCGTTTTAACATTTTCTGAAGAAAATTTTCTATTTTTTTTTTTTTAATATGGCGTTTTATTACGCCGTTCTATATCATATTTATTAAACGAAATATTTATTTAACATGTCAGTTTTTATTCAATTACTTTTGTATAAAATTTATATGAAATTTTTCACGAAACAAAGTTGTAACCAATGAATTATTTATTTAGAATCAAATTTCTTTTTATTGGCATTGAGTGGACGCGTCAGTAGTGAAATTTTTGCACACCTATGCATATTCGTTTTGTGTTAACGTCCGCATTATTGCCAGCAGGCATGACAAATCAGCCTACAATCAAAGTGGCGAAATACCGTTTTACACGCATGTTAATACGATACGCAATTTTCAAAGACGACTTCGTATACATGTCGGTACATAAGTATATAGTACGTAAATTTTCGTGGAAACACACATACATTACAATGCCAAAGTCGTTTCTTACGTATCATTTAATGGTGCACTCAATATGCACAACTGATATCGACGAGACCGTCGCTATCATCATAAATTACCGCAGTATCATTGGCATTGTTACACCTTACTACTAATCTATGTTACACATATCTATAACAATATAAGTGTAACGAAAATGTATCATTTATAATCTCGATGTGAACTATGTGAGAGTTACAGAGAGTTCTTATCAAAATGTTTTGTACGAAATCGCTCGAAAATAGCACGTCATTTTGATTGTTATTTATTCGTATTATCGAGAATTAATTTACTTTTATTATCAGCGCGATATACTCAACGTTCTTGACGCTCTCGAATAAAAAAAAGAGCCTGCTTATCGGATAAAGTGTCAAGGGCGACGTAAACAGCCGCAGGAAACGCATAATTTCCGATTTCAATTTTTAGGTTTTTAAAGAATTTTGGTGGCTGACTCGACATAAGCCTGTCATTAAGCCTGTCTTTAAGATAAAGATGTACGATATATAATCGGAACATCTTCGATAATAATTACCGCCGAACGATAACCTTCGACGTGCCACGTTATGATTTATCACGGAATACCGTATCCGGCTACGCTGCATCAGTGTAATAAGCTATCGAAGTGATTTTTCCACAAATCTAAAAATGTATCGCTATTTTAAATGTTATCGAAAGACAGCGAGTTGCTTTTGAATAATTTAAATTCAAGATTGGAATTAAAAAACTCGTTTTTAAGTCATGATAAATTCCTTCGAAATTATCTTTTAAAAATGAAGAACATGTTATGACGGAAACCATGAAGACCGTTTTAAATATATTTATGAAATTCTTACACATTTAGATTACACATATTTACCGTAATTATTTAATGAAAATATGTTTTAATGAAAGAGAGACAAACAAGTTCAAAAATATTTCAGTTCCGGTTTGCGAACGCCGCATTCTTAAGCGGCGCAAAAAAATGCAAACGTGTTCGCTCGTTCAGCTCTCGTCATGGTGCGATCGTGTCACGTAAAAATGTATTTACCTCGTCGGTCGCTTATTCTCCATCAGTGCCTCGTGTAAATGAGACGAGTGCACGCTCACTGAAAACCAGCGTCGGCACCAGCGCGCTTTTCGTGCGCCGTACGATTTCGCACTTTTCCTTTCACACGATCACACTCATTGATCCTACCACTAAATCCACTGATCGTTGCTTAGCCCGTCGCGAGAACTCGTTACTTTTGAAATGGTTCTTAATAACCGTTCTAACAATCACGGTCGCGCCGCTGCAAGCTTTAAAATCGGAAGCAACCACGTCGCGTTCGATTGACGACGATTATCAGCCACGACGATAAGAAGATTTAAATGGGTGTTCCAGAGATCGGCGTGGGGGGAGAGGGAATCACTGTTATTCGGCACGATTTCGTACTTGCCGCGAGGGAGAGAGAGAGAGAGAGAGAGAGAGAAAAGTCGCGGCGACGCGACGTATTCGAAGAAGACAGAAATGAAACTTTATCAGCGACTATGATGCTGATACAGTCAGGGCCGGTCGAACGCCCAATGCGGACTGACTATAACTGTAAACGATCACTTGTCGGCGAAGAGCGAGGAGGCCCCACCGGCTTCCCTCGGGGACTCCCGCCACTTGCATACCCGGCGACAACGTGCCAGCGTACCAGCGACGGTATACCGGCGTACACCGGCGTATACCGAGGTACCAGCGGCTCCCACCAAACCAGTTCCTGCTCCAGAACCGCTTCCACCTGCTCTCTCGCGCTCCGAATACTCCGAATGCGCCCGAGTGCGCCCGGCCAATTATCTCAAAATCAAAAATTCTTTTTTTAGGGAGAGGTTGGAAAACTCGTTTGAGATGAGGGAGATACGCTCCGGTGTCGTTCACTCCTGTGTCCTAATCTTCCGGGTTTAGCCGGTACCGTTCTCCCAATGTTAAGGTATTCCTAACACGCGCACGACGTGCAATCGGTTGTTCGTTTCATTAGGAGACTCTTCCTTTCGATGGACGCATTTGTCTATTTTTTTTTTTTACGTCACCAGGAAGTGTGATACTTGACGTTATATAACCGTGCAACTTCCGCGAAATGTGTGCAAACCTGTTGCGCATTTATCATTGTTGTAAACAAATTATCATGCGTCTCCTTCTTCAAATGTCCTCATTTTTTATGTGCAATATTTTACATTTTAAAAAGTGATAACTTTAAGGACTCCAATAAAGGCTGATTTCGAATAGATGTCTTTTTAATAAAAATATTGGAGAATTTCTAATTTTTTAATTATTAATGATCAAAACTAAATCGTTAAAGAATTAAATTATATTGCGAAAAAATTAAATTATTATAACACGATGTTCCTTTCCTTACGATAAATTTTCAATTAATATGATTATGTTTTCCTTCCATCCGCGAGTCCATCTATTAAGATTTCGTAGCTCCTTCTTTCTCAAACCGGTTTTTAGTAATCTTAAAAATTAAAATACAAAGCTTTTTATGAACTGTATATACGGCGCTATAAATTGTCTCCACGCTAGTTGCGCGCAAATTGCGAAAGATCGGCAAACATCAACAGTTTTCAGTCGCGCTCTCATTTATAACATTTCTGGCGAACACGTGGAGAACGTCGGCAGCAAGGGCGCGGCGTATCGATTAGGATTTCGCTTCCTGGACGACTAACCCCTTACCGGAACACTTTCGTCGCGCTTGCTTTCTAGATCGTCGCCGATAGATCATCGACGCGAGGCTCGCGATATAACGGTAAGCGGAGGCATTCCTGCTCGGCTGAATCGGTCGACGACGTCCGTCATTGCACGACGTTCGTCCGTACATTCGTTGTTCATAGCCGATGATCATGCATCGGTCAAGGCCCCTTCTACCTTTTTCCACGCCGCTACCTTCTTCCACATTTGTACGGTACGGAGCCACCTTCACCTTCTCTCTCCGCGACTCTCCGTGCACGTCTTCTCCCTTCTCTTCTCGTTAACTCGATCGTTCTCGTTTTTCTCCCTTTTTTTCTCCGCCTTTCGCTCTGCGCGACCGACAAGCGAGAGAAAATGCACGAGTGTGTATTTTACAGTAGGTAGCGGGTTACGCCAGGTGAGAACAATGCGTTCTTACGTCAGGACTAATGAACGAATGATGAACCACGCGATTACATCTATGACGACGATGTGTAGAAGCACTGTAAACGTGTACCGTATCTTCGTGACGTAACACGATATCGAACGAAATGCCGTTTTGCCTAATTGATATCACACCAAAAAATCAGGTCTCGATGGGTGTACAAAATAGATGATACATAATATCGAGATAACACAATTATGTATGTATGTCAACCTGTATTTACTCGATGAGATATCTTCAGTAAGATATCACACGCACACTTCAGTATTTTATTATCGCTCTACTAATACAAGTTCTTCGCGTAACTTTTAGCAAATAGCTTAGTCAGAATTAGTCTTTAAACTAAATTACGTTGACTTCTTAAGATAAATTAAAGAAATTTTTCTTGTTTTATTCATGCAAGAAGCATACTTCTTTAATCATTTGATCTATCTAATAGTTAATCAAATAATTTTTAATTATTGTACTTACTAATAGCGTTTTAAATTTCTTGACGTCGCAATAATCACGTTAATGGGCTATTTAACTGATATTAAACGTTTATGAAAAATTATATACTAGGACGTAAGAAAGTAATGCTCTCTTGACTCGGCAAGAATTCAACTGAAAACACATTGATACACACCTTCTTTCTATATGCTGGCGTCGCTGCACAAGAGCGCGCCTTGCATTCTCGTCGCAATGTCCCGAGACAATGTTCGACCCGCTAAAACTACCAACTTGTCTTCAGTCATACCAAGTGTCTTAGAATTAATACAATATGTGACATTATTTCCTACAATAGTTTTATAGTCAATTCTCTTGAAACTAAAAATATTGAGAACAATTTTTTATATTTCTTACCACTCGATAATTTAAGTTGCAAATCGCAATTTTTGTTAAAGAAAGATATGTTTTCAGATTAAACGCGCATGCATTATACGCAAACCTATGTTCCATCAATATTGAAAGTACTCTGTATTGTTCAACTGTAACTGTTCAACTTCAAAATGAAACATTTTTCACACGAAGCGATAATGAAATGATCTTTTTGGATTCATATTTCATGGAGATATATTTCTTTGACGTTGCATAACATGCAAGTGCAAGAAGTATATAATTCGATTCACATTTTGACGATCATAAATAATGCTGGGCAATAATACGGCAATAATAATCATTTTAATAATGTCAGTAATTCTTCTTTTTTTCCCGATGCATATAAAAGAATACATACAAAGATATTGAAGTCGTAATCTCTTTCAAGCGATATTTATGTCAGCAATCATCTTTGCGTGTTTCATGATTGATGCCTCTTTGGTAATTGGAGGATCTTGAAGAGGATCCGGAGAACGGATTGCTCGAACTTATTTAACTTCATCTCCGTTATAAAAGACCGGTTTCTTCGTTGCACTTCATGTATGCCCCATCTATTATGACCCAACGAAATTTTTAACTATTGAGACTTTCTGTTTCGAAATAATCATTCTCATTGATTAATTTGCTAGACACGATTCATGGGACTGCTATGCTAATTTTATGACCAAATTATACTAATTATTTTGTATAAAAACAAAGTATAGTATTCAAAGATACGTCTTGTGAAATATTTACTAATTTAGAATAAAAATTCTTTTTTCTCCAATTTAATTTTTATTCAAAACATTTTTGCACATTTCGAAATTAAGATTAAATTTTTTGTCGTTTATTCGTGAATAATAATTGACAAAATTAATGTGGTGTTTTATCAAATAGACATTAGTTTAGTTAATAGAAAATTCTACTTTAAGATTAATGCATGCCTTGTATAATTCAAAGCACGTAATAAACACTTGGGTATTAAAGAAGATATATATATATATATATTAGCAATGTCTGTTTTTGCCATCTCAAAATGAATAGAAAGAGTTGTTAATCAACTTGCTTAAGTGAGCATTTCGCGTATGTTTGTCACGGACACTCGATATATTTTAAATTATCGCTCGATTGATCGCAAACATGTGACGGGGCCGAAAAAGCAAAAAAAAAAGTTACATTAAGTCGACAGGAATCCGCCCTCGCCCCGGGCACAATTTCTCTCGAACGATCCAGGTCGAAGTTAACGAGAAGGACGAGATGAAGGAAAAAGAAGGAAGTCGCAGGTTCCCCTTTCATTTAACAAATTTAATTGCTTGTGTACAGTGAGCGAGGATCACGTTGATTTTACACAGGCTACTTTGACTCGACGTCGAAGAAAGAAATATAATTTAAATTAGTTTAGTAATTGAGTTACGCTGGTTATTAGTGCAAGAACAAAGGATTTCGCCGTCGTTGTTTTAAGTAGTCTCGGACGTCTGAGATTTGACCGATCGTTCGTGAGAATAATCGGCATCCAGCCGGCGCGGCGCTCGGGGATTTTCAACGTGTTGCGCGGCGCGTCAGTGCGAAAATGCTCCTTTCACCCGGATTCTGGCGCGAGAATGTCGTTGAAAGACGAACGACGAGACTGAGAAACGATAGGCTCACTCGAGCTCCTTTCGATTAAAATAATCGGCAGAAGATAAGCTCGTGGAAATTTCACATAAACGTCACCGGGGGGGGGGGGGTCCTCTCTTCCCCCAATGCTCAAACGAAAAATCCGACATCGCTCATCCACTTGATTCCTGTTACTTTTCACGGTATCTATGAAACAAATGATTATCGCGCATTAACGTGACGTGAATGGAGCATTTGGTTATTAACGAAATTGCTTGTGTTACTTTGGTGGATGTCTTATCTGTCCCGCTGCTGGAGAAATCCAGCCTGCCGCGAGTTAATTGGACTACTTACATATTCCGGTCCGCAGGAATTTTTCCCCGCTCGCACGCTCACGCGAAAGGTCACGCAAACGCGGATGTAAAGGCGAGCGAACGGAGAACGGTGCTGGCGTACGCGCACGCGTGCTGCTGCTATGCCATTTTTTTTCGCTTTAATCCAGAAAAATCACTTGAAGAGTCTGTGCAAATGAACAATTTCGCGAGTCTGTAAATCATTATTTAATTACGAAGTTCCAAATGCATCCCCATATTTCAATTCGAACCAGAACTTGACGACGTTGTTGCCGAAAGTGTAGAGACGTGAATACTTTTTGAGCTACTTAGAAAGAAAGCACAAGGTTAACAAAATTTATTTGCTAATTTTAAATGAATTTTACTTCAACAAAAATTGGGCTTAATGATATAATTACTAATATAATTTTAAATAGCAAAAACAGGAATTATCAAATTGTTTATCGCACAGAAATGTACCTATTATTAAATATATTCTGTACAATAAAATTTTTTAACGTGCGAATTGCTGATTACAACTACGCAAAAAAAAAATATTTGAGGCGCGAATTCTTCCGCATTGTTTATGCATTTCCTCTTTCAGACTCACTCGCTGAGTCAGTTTTATTTCGTTCAGTTTTGTAAAAGCGACATCGAGACGCGGGAAAAGTGCAATGCTTGCGGCCGTCTGGAATGTAGCACCGTAAAAAGACTTTGCCTTGGCGGG